AGATAGATAGATAGATAGATAAGTATGTAGGTAGGTAGGTAGGTAGGTAGGTAGGTAGGTAGGTAGGTAGGTAGGTTCGGTAGGTAGATGGACGAGACGAGAAAGATAGATAGGTGTAGACAGAGATGGATACGGATAGATGGACAGATAGAGAGAGGCACGTGAAGAAAGAGCTGGGGCCAAGAGGCTAAGAGGAAAAACGATGACAAGCGACAGAACCTAACGAAAGCATCACGAAGTCGTCGACTCGAAACGATAGCGCAAAAGGTCTGCGAGCAAGAGGCATCCGGCTACAGACATTTGTGGAGCGCGAGAGTCATGTAGGAAAGGCGGCAGTTGCGGGAATTGCGGGAAACATGTGTCGCGGAAGTGAGAGTACCTCGACTCAGCCAGGGCTCCGCATTTGTGAGCTCGGAGGCCATGAGCTCCCAGCCGAACTCCACGCGCGCCCAGGCCACCTTCGAGGGGTTTTCTGCAGGAGTTCATCTTTCACATCTCGAGCCAGGCAAAGCAAGACGGGGTCCAACAAGACGGCGCTGTAAACGTCCCCGTGCTCCCACGGTTTCAAACAGCAACCGCGAACCTTTAGCTTGATGAGCATCAGCCCTATGGCCTCGCCCAGCCAAACAGGACACATGGCCTTTCAGAGGAATTTCCTAGCCCTTGATATCTCAAATGTTCGAGTTTAAGCACAAACTGCCATCGCCAGTGGCCCTCCACATGAACACCGGAACTGGAGTGCGTCCGTACCAACGTCGTGTCTTGCCGCTTGCTTGCACGGTCTGCTGCGTGTCTTCTGCACTGCAGTCAGAAAAACGCCAGCCCATGAAGTTTCGTTTATACGCCGCCCATACATTATATCATCAGGTATCATATTCCGCTATGATCTTCATGCAGTGGATATTCTGGCAGCCATTCTGGCTGTGCACGTTGCCGCTATCTTCTGCAACACCCAACACTGTACCTGGCCTCACATAGGAGACATGCGTAACCGCACAGGCGGCCGGCCGCTCAGGTACACGGCCGCGATGGCGACACAAGCTGGCTTCCTGTGCCAACCGAGAATATAGGTTTACTGCGCTGCCTCCAGATGCTTGCAGTACAGAACTTACGCGGCTCAGCATTAGAAGCCGTTGGCGCTGCTCCTGTGAGCCCATGCGCCTTGTGCGGCCCGAGGGACAGCTGGAGCATCTACGAAAATCTGCCCGCAGCCGTTGAAGTTCGACGAAAAGTATCAGTCAAACTACGCAAGGGCCCGGTGCAAAGATGTACATATCTGAAAGTACACCGGGCACGCAACTAGTCAAAGAGGGCTTCATGAGCCATTCAAACAAGCCTCCTTGCTTTGGTGTTTATCCTTCTTTATCCTTCTCTGAATGTAGCCCTGTTTTCAAGGCTGCCGCAATGCTCTAAGACTCTAAGAATGACCAGAGGACTCTCAGACGGCTCCCGCGGCACTCAGGCGAGCTGGGGCTTGCAGTTGCCATCCTCTGTAACGTAGTCAGTTTAAGTTGGGAACCCACAGGTACTTCGAGAGTTCAGAGTTGGCTCTTCGAGCTTGCAGTACCCGAACACCCCTTTATGTCCGGAAGCTGGCTGTGCAGATAACTACGAGTCAGCACATTCCTCACCTCTTGCTCCTTCTCCCCGCAAGCCTATCAAATCACCCAGACTAAGTCACAGTGCACTTGCGGGCAATCGCTACCGGCATTCTTCGGCCCGTGGAAATGGAAATTCAAAGTGGCAATCCTGCAGCCCTCAGCCCTGACACGGCCTCGCTGCAATACCCCTCCCGGCAAATACACTGCCCATCTTTGCACACTGTTGGACCTGCATCAAGGGTGTTGCTGACTGCCTGGGTTCCATGATCTGATCAGTTCCTCAGCATTGCAGTCGAAAGAGCTTCACAAGTATTCATGTAACATCTTCGCTACACTGCTTGCACTCCACGGGCCTCGCCCATGCCAGCACCACAAGAATTTGCAGCTGCCTCCAGTGGTGACATCGCAGCCCTCCTGCGCATACACAGGTGTCTTCTCGAAACTCAATCTCCCTTCTCGCGCACTGGTTACGGCGAAGCAACTCTTTGCAAGGTCCGGGGTCTTTGGAGAAGGGTGCCTCCGAGGATCAAAGTACCCGTGCCACCGTTTCGAGACACCAGTGGTAAGCATGGACGGCCTAACGATGTTTGCACCTTTCCCCCCCCCCCCCACAGCACGGGTAAGGAATGTCGAGTCAAAGCCTACACCTGAAGCCAGAAATCATAAGCGGCAGTGCTTGAAGCTCAAAATCCTCGCTGATGCCTTCAGACAAGATAGCGGCTCCTTGGATGGGCCTGGCCCGCTCCCCAGCGTACCGGCACGCGGGGGCATGCAGTACCCATCCTTCCACAAGGAAGCAAGTGCGACACCACTCTGCCAATCGCGTTCCCTACAGAGCGTCTACTCTGGCATTGATCACTGGCACATGATGCCAGGAGTAGCATGTCCAAAGCTGTGTGAAGTGCATACAAAACCGCCCCCCCACCCGCCCTGTGGCGGGTATAATTGGCAAATGTAGCTTTTGTTACACATCCTCTTCGTGGCTACGTTGACCAGTACCAGGACAGGGTCATCACGTCGTCACACGGCATCATGTCGGAATACGCATGTCATCTTCCGACATGGAGGCTTCGTCCTGCAAATTTGCATTATGTATGCACCTAGAGCAATCGTTTCGGCAACGCAGCGCTAGCATAAGCGGTACGGCACTATCTGTAAATGTCGCCGGCCCTAGTAACAGTCACCACAAACAGAAGCACAAAAGCACCCGCAAAACCGCAATTTTCTGGTGCTAAATTTTGTGTTCATGATTGTGCTTTATCTGGTGTTAAATTCGGTGCTCATGCTTGTGCTTTTTCTGGCGCCAAACTTGGTGCTCATGATTGTGCTTTATCCGGTGCTCAAGTTTGTGCTCATGATTGTGCTTTGACTGGTGCTACATTTTGTGCTCATGAATGTGCTTTTTCCTGGTGCTAAATTTTGTGCTCATGATTGCGCGTTATCTGGTGTTAACCGTTGTGCTCGTGATTGTGCTTTCATTTGGTGCAAAGGTTTGTGCTCACGATTTTGCCTTTGCTGGTGCTACATTTTCTGCTCATGAGTGTGCTTCTTTGTGGTGCTCAAGTTTGTGCTCATGATTGTGCTTTTTGCTGCATTTGGTGCTTCTGATTGTGCTTTCTTAAAGTAATTACAGATTATAGCCTAATCATTCGCCTCATGAACCCATACTTGCAGTCTTGATGTTCGACAAGTTCTGTGCTCATAATTGTGCTTTTCCGGTCCTAGTTTTGTGTTCATGATTGTGCTTCTGCTGGTGCCGCATTTTGTGCTCATGATTGTGTCTTGTTTCTGGTGCTAAGTTTTGTGCTCATGAGGGTGCTATTTCTGGTGCTAAACCCTCTGCTCATGATCGTGCTTCTTCTGGTGCTAAAGGCTGCTATAGAGTTAATCCACTGGGCCTTCAAATCCTGGTGCTCATTTTTTGCCTTTGTGATACATAAGGAACCTTCATTTCTCTGTTAGTGGGGGCAGCAGCATCTGAAGTACTATCCCAACCCAGCTGACATGTACTACTGCTGGGCATGTATACACCTGTCTCTTGGATCGCTGGCAATTTCTTGGGGCCAGGAACCTTGCCATCCTTGCTGCTTTACCATGGAACTTCGTCGCGAATTTGCTGGCCGCAAGGCGTTAAAGGATCTCTCGGCAATGGCATCGAAGCTTCCCGAAGAGTTAAGGGTTCAAGCTCCGCTGAGCAGCTTTAAACTGAAGAAATACCGCGATAAGGCAGCACCGTTCATCCGCTGGCCTCGGCGCAAAGCCCGGCATTGCAAAGGCACTGGCCGCCCGAGCAGGATGTAGGCCCTGACCGGACCCAAAGATGCACGGTAGAACCAGGATGCAAGAGTTCCCCGACACAGAAGCTGATTATCCGAAGAATCGGGAGCTCCACTAGTGGCCGCGCTTGCTGTAAAGATAAACGTGCCGTTGATCTCTGAGAAGCCCACATAGCACAGCTGCCGCCGAAGGAAAGTAAAGTAAAGACTGCTCAAACTCAAATCAAAAAGAAGAAACTCGAACCGGCATCATTTCTTATGCAACTGAACTTTCTAGCTAGAATCTGTGGCCCTGCGAGCATACACTGCAGCGCCTCTGGTGCGACTGCAAAGGAAAAGCTTGCAGGTCCCGCCGGTGTTGGTGGTTTCGCAGAGGCCGTCTGCACCTGGGTAGAGTACACCCTGACTCGCTCATCATAGAATATACTACAATACAAGGTAGTACAGTACAAGACAGAATACTCTACCAGACTACACCGTAACGGTAACAACACCATCCTATCCTGTCCATGCTATGCTTTGCTATGTGATGATATACCATACTCTACTCTACTATAGGGTGACGTGATATGACATCAGGCAAAGTGACAGGATGTGATAAGGAATGACGTGTAATGAAATGATGCGAATTCATCTCATGACATGGCATATTCTGGTATAACATACACAACATCTCATAAGGTAAGGCAGTCTCACACGAATCACTAAGACCAAAGAACGTGATATAATGTCATGTTATGTTGCATAACGTAGTATGTTATTATAGCCAAAACTATAGCCTTTGATCCTCACACGAAGCGCGTCACGGAGACCAGGCTGCCGAGCTGCTCACACGTTTTTTCCTCTTGCCGTTCGACACGGGCTTGTCTTTGGAGCACTGGTAGCCTGCTTCTGACAAGCTTCTGCGGTTTCGGGGAGTAGGATGAAAAGTTCGCCGGGTAGGGGGTTTGAGAGTATAGGGGTATGCGGTCGGAGGTTCCAGGGTGCAGCGGGATTCACGAGAGAGGACAGCTCAGAGAAGAGCAAGCCGCGCTCAAGGCGGCAGCTTAGGACGGACTTGGTCTTCTCTCAGTCTAAGCGATGACGCTCGGTCCGTCTCCCAGAGTATGTTGACACCCTGCTCGTGCATCAATAGATGATCGATCTTGTTTAGTGCTACCCGGAGACGTATTTTTGCCCTGGCCGTTCTTGGCCCCATGTACTCTCACAGCTTGGGCAACCCGACTAACTGCTACTGCATTGAGCAGCTGTCTTCACAGGGAGATCAGGTGCCGGGACGGGAGGGATGCTGTTACGTGCCTTCAGTATGCGACTTGAACCTCCATTGCGACAATCTGGATTCGAGCCTTTTGGTGTCCTTCGCTGTGAGCCACGGAGTCCCCATACTCTGGCGCCAAGTGGCAAACTGCGCCAGTGGTCGTCTTGACCTCTTTCTGGTAGAGGCCTGTGCCACAGCCAGCATGTCTGTTTCAACCGTATCGGGAGTAGGGGGGCAAACGATGGGCATGAGGTCCCCGAAGGAATCTTTAATGAAGGCTCCTCTCGAGACGCTGGGTTCGAAGCGCTCAAGCATGTGCATGC